CTTCGGCCTGAACGATAAAGTGCACATTTTTGATCAAGTGCATTAACGTCCCCTTTCGACGAATTGTAGAAAGCTATTATATCAGGTTTTTTGCTTTCCTGGTCAACAGATTTGTCGTGATGCATAGACGACAACATAATTACACTTTTATTTTTTTTTTAGGGACATATGATACGATTGTATTGTCTCGTGTAAAACCAAATAAACACTTATCAACTTCGTAATTTTTATTTGGTTGAAATTGTGGAGGAATTTCTCTCTTATTTTTACGCATTGTACCTACATAGGTAAGTTGAAGTTTTTTGAGTTCATCAACTAGCTCTATTGAGGTGAACCAATTATCACCAGTGACATTTCGGTTACTATTGGCAATTGGTTCCACTAAAGCAAGTACTGATCTTGTAGGTATGGATAGCTTTTGGGCATTAGGATAATTTGTTTTACCCGTATACACAAAAGCATTTTTCTACTCTCTTACTAGTAAGTTGTCTAATACCTACTATTTGGATGCTAAGTAAATGCATCATAACAGATACTGACACGTAATAACTAGCACGTAATAAAAAAAATTACGCTTCAGTTTTATAAAAATGTGTAATATCACATAAGCCTTGTAAGTCAGTTGGTCGAGTTACCATGGAAACGAATTAACAGACGTTATTTTGACAGATTAAAAATTATTAAACTGTCAGTGTAAATATAGTGGTAATTTAATTTTTATTTTTATAAACGAAAATAATGGTAGAAAAAGTATAGTACACAACTTGAGTTGTAAGCTTATTACATGCTTGTAAAATTACTGCGCTCGCCGCTACGCGGCTCGCGCGCAACTTTTTTACTCGCATGTAATAAGCTTCTTACAACTCTCGTTATGTAATATACTATTACCAAATAATGTGTTTTTGCGTCACATAAACACATGATCTTGATGCCGTACTTGACTAGTTTGGCTTTCATGTACATTCTGAAAGGGCATCTACCTCTAAATTCAACCAACATCTCGTCCACTGTAACATATTCGGAACAGGTGTAGTTTACTGTACTGTTAGATACGAAACATTTAGATAAATAGGACACTGCTGCAAGTCGATCTCCATTGGCCTTCTTTTGCTCTCTTCTTTCATGATTGTCAAATCTTATTGCTGTGAGAAGAAATAAGAAGCGTTCTTTTGACATTGTAGCACGAAAAATTGCCCTACCTAAAACGCTTGTCGAAAATAATGAATCGACATTCTCATGATTAGACTTTAGTACACCTGAAAGGTATAAAAGACCCAAAAAAGCTTTAAGTTCACCTTCGTTTAGTTGATCGCCAAATGTACATGTATCCCCATAATTTACACCGAGCTCGGTAATTTTTTCATTTGTGTACTCTAGAATAGAGGCCAACATGACAGGAGTTATAAGAAGTGACCAGGATTCAAGTGGACTGGATGGTTTTGTTTCTAAGGCAGGTCCACGAAGACCAGGAAGGTGTGTAATAATGTTCTGTGCGCGAATTTTTGATGGGACCGGAGCATTTTTAGCCCACTTATATCTGTTCCGTCCATAGTAAAAATTTGTTTCATTATTAGATGCTGTGTCACATTCGTCGCTTGATAAGTCACTTACGTCAATTTTTGAATCTGTGTCGTGAACCGAATGTTCACTTTCAGTGTCAGTATTACTGTTATTAGTCACTATAAGTGTAAATATTTTCGGTTGGTTCCTCCAGAGATTCGAGAAAGTCAGAAACATTTTCACTTGTCAGCGTACTTCCGCTAATTCTTAAAGCCATTTTAATGTATTATCTTAAATAATAATAACGTAACTACTATGGTGGGGTCAAATCCGACCGGAACTCAGCAGCACGTGTGTACTATCCCACTGATCGTTTGCTACTAAGTGGCAATCATGCTAAACTACGTACTTAATTGGGAGAATACATAGAATAACAAGGTCGTTCGCCAAACTGTCTACCAATGGCGCACGAAATTTCAAGTCAAATTTGACCCCACGATAGTAGTTCAGGGTTATTAAGTGTGCTGTTTCCATCTGAATGATGCACAAGCCACCAAAAAACTCTCCGTTCACTTTGAAAACAGACTGCTCACTCAAAACTTGTAATCTCGGAAACCTTTTTTGGATGTTGCTAGAAAGGTCACCAATGGAGACACTGTGGACGGCAGCCAGATGGTTGGTGGAGAGCGAGTCGTGGGTTTGAAACTAGCTTTTGGAACCGAGAATGGGTCCAACGAACGAAATAAGTAAAGATAGAACAAGATAAGATATATTAGAAAAGATACAGAAATAAACAAAAAGATAGATGGGTAAAATTACCAAAGATACGATAAGATAGAAACAGGGCGCCACTCAATTTTTTAGGGTTTATGGAGAAAATTAAGAAACCTTAGAAAAGAAAAGAGATAAAGAATGATATTTAGGTTTAGAGATCAAACCCAAGAAAAGATATTAACAGTTAATTATTAAATAACTTTGGTCAACACACTATATAAACCAATAATAAATATATTAGGTGGACTCCGTCCTCCGACTCAGCCTGATCTTTCTCCTGGTCAAAGGTATAGTAATAATTAAAGGTATAAAGCAAATATTTAGAGTTGTGGTTGTATCAGGAAACTTGTTAGGAGTCGACAAATAAAATGCATACATAAAACAAAAACAATATATTCAACAACACAATGATATCGGTAGCTGAATGTAAACACAAGATAAAAATACACCATTAATTATGAAATGGTGGTATACATATAAAAATGAGCAGTAATATGAATAATAAGTACCTTTACAAATACAACAATATAATAATGCACAGGTTCAATCATCAGCAAAGAGAGTCTAATGCTATATAAAAATATTCTACTAAAGTTGATTAAAGAAAGTTTCTCTTTGCTGTTTAATGGGCAGATCTCGAGATATTGGGTTAAAAATGTATATCAATTATAGCATATAACAAAAATTAATCAAATCTAAATTTACAAGAATACAAAAAGGTTACAGAAACAAAAATTTGACCAGCTCGCACTTGGCCGTAGTAGATTATCTATCTCGCACTGTTATTTAATGATTGAGAACTAAATGTTCGTAATTATTATTTATTGAACTTTCTTAGTAGCTAATGGAAAGTTCGAAAGACAATATTGAACGCAAAATTCAGTAGTTACTCTCAACTACAGGTGAAGAAATGGATGACTTTAGATTCGTCCAGATAATGGAAGATGATATGATACCATACCATATTATTCGCCCAGATAATTGAAGATACTATGATTACTTACAGGAAATCTTGATGACTGCTGCACTAATTCACTGAAGCTATGTTTTGTACTCCAATACTTTACTTGTATCGAACACTGAAGTTAATTAACATTAAAGGTACTTTATAACTATATTAAAGCTAATATAGTATAAGATAAAAAAAACTCAAATATACAAGTGCATACACACTTAGAAAAAAAGATGCACCGAGAACGGTACGATAACAGAAACGATACTATGAGCGAAGCGTCTCACGAGAAGTAAATCTTTTCTCCTCGATTGCCCACTCAGAAGTGAGTTGGTTCCTCTAAAATTTTACAAACTACCCAAGAAAAGGTGTGGGTATCTCCCACCTAAAAATGATGGGACAGTTGTATGTATTTCTAAGAAGTTTCGAGCTATATAGACAACGGTACCATCAATTGGACATGAGAAAAATACAATCCTTAGGATTAGGTGATTATAAAAAGAAAACATTACAACGTGCCTTCGGGATATTTACAAATATATCATAAAGGAACCTGCCTTCACCGAAAAGCATTAGTTCCTTTCATACTCAGGATTAAAAAGGAAAGGATCAAACAAACCGGCGTGTTTAAATAAGTCGGTTCTTCAATAATTTGAAAATTCCCGTGATATTTCGGTCGTGGGTAGAATAAAATTTTCTAATCGTAAACACTATCATGAGCATATCAGCACGGGGCTAAAAGGAATAAAAATAATTAATATTTTAATTATATAAAAAAATGTAACTCAACACCAAAATATCTTGGAGTGACTCTAGAGAGAACGTTGGGTTTTAAAGGACACCTACAAAGAATGGCAGCAAAACTGAAAACGCCAAATAATAAGGTCCAAAAGCTATGTGGCACCACATGGGGGTCCTCAGCCTCCGTACTCAGATCATCCGCCCTCGGACTTGTATACTCGACGGCTGAATATGCTTCCCCAGTATGGCTCAACAGCAAATAGGCGAAGATTATTGTCATCCAATTAAACCAGACACTGCGAATGATCTCAGGTACAATTAGACCCACACCGAACTATTGACATCCAATTTTGACTCATATTCTGCCGCCGAAACTGCAAAGAAGTCGTTCTCTTCTCAAAGAATATCAAAAAATTAACGCTAATCATCAACAACCCATCCACCATGATAAGCTTGATATCGAAATAAACAGACTGCGCTCCAGATATCCTCCATTGTAAAGAGGTCCTTCCATCAGGAACATTTTAACGTCACCAAAACGCAACGCTTGGATAAGACAATGGGAGAGCGACTCACTACAGGAAGCACACCAAATGGCCTGTGTCGGTCAGAAACCGCCAGGTTTTGAACTGACCAGCAATACATGGACAACGCTAAACAGAATAAGAACAAACAGCAGTAGATGTGCTGACTATAGGTTCGGTGCTATAGGTACTATTTTCTTGATGGAGTCAGAGAACATACGAACAGTTCTCTGATGGAGTGCTCCAATAAACATTCAAAAATTAGACTTTATTCTACAGCTCACAGTCAGTTCTTAATAAATAATTCCTAATAAATATTAAAGGTTGTGTATTTATATTACTTTCTTTTATCTAATTGGTTCTGCTTAATGTTCAATTTCTTGTAAATTGCGTCTTGTAGAATTATTTATGGTACAAATAATTATGGTATTTTCAAATTAGATCTTAAATAACCAAGAAGTTCAAATCACCGCTGATAAAAAAAGAAGAATCGAACAACTGTCAAATAATTTGAAAATTGTCTTCTCGTGTTTTGTTGTTTTTAAATTTTGTATACTCGTATTTTATTAATTTCGGAAAAATAGTGAAAAATGGCTGGTGTGTTGTTTGAAGATATATTTAATGTAAAAGATATCGACCCAGAAGGCAAAAAATTCGACAGAGGTAAGTCTTCAGCCGCTTTTATTTGCATTTACAGGTTATGTTATGCTGAATTCTAGAACATAAGAATTTTTCAAAAATGTTTGAAAGTCATAATTATAATGTTACAATACTTTTCTGTAAACAAAGTATACTTTTATTGTTGTTGCTTAACACAAAGGTAACGAGAATACACACTCTCACATCATAGTGTTTACAATTTAAAAATATCTTGTTATTGATTGCTACACAGGTTTAACTTTTTTTTTGAATCGCATTGATTACTCGCTAATTACTAATTAATTACAGTACTAAAAGTAAAAAAAATAAATAGCATGTTGGATTTGTGTGTACCTATTATTTTATAGTTTTTATTTTACAAAATCTTACCTCATTCCAAGAAAGGTTTCATAATGTTTTCCAAATCTTTTGGTATGATAAATGTTGAAATTTTTATTCTTTCTGCTATGGGTAACAACTAATCCAAACGGTAGTCAGTTTGATTTAAAATTTCTTATTATATAGTTGAATCCTTGGTTAAAAAATACCTAGATTGACAATAAGTTTAGTACTTTGTGTGAAAACGAGGATAATAATACTCAGTTGGCTTTTTGCCTGTATTATTCTACAGTTTTATTATATCCTCTACATTTTAGGTATATTCACACCATCAAGACATATCAGTATGGTTTTGAGGTTACATAGAAGCATAGGTTTTCTTATATTGAGTTTTTTTCACATTAGCCAAATTGTACCACTTTCAGTAGTTTCAGGGCACAAGTATATTTATAGTTTCATATTTGTTTTAATTTGACACTTGTTTCATTGCAGTAGTTCTGTAAGATGTAGGCCTAGTAAGTTTCTTGAGATCATTCACATTCAAGTAAGGCACCAATACTTGTACTTTTTTCTGTGTGTATATGGGATTGTTCGGAACATCATTCATATGTGTATATATAGATATATGTATAATATAGATTCTGGCTTTTAAGTGTCTTGCTCTTTTGCTAAGGATTTACAAAGTGAGATATATTGAGCCTCAAACCCCCATCTCTTGCTATACTGCTGATCCATAGGGCAATCCAATATTCCAGCATATTCTAGTCTAAGTAGCAGATCCATTTGAATTATACACTACTATGTTAGCCTTTTTGTTTTCTGGCCAGGGTCTAACCCATTGACCACTACATCATTCACAGTGAAGTGAATGTGATTCATCTGCCTGGCTTACTTGGCTATTTGACTGACGGAATTATGATAATAAAGGTCAAAAAACAAAAAATTACAAAAGGCATTAAGTCACTAATATTTGAGGTATGTTCTATGGAGAAAATTAATATGTTGTTGAGCATAGCAATAGATATTTTGTAAAGTAAGATAGAGGTAGAGGGTGCAAGTGTGGTCCTTTTTAAGAAAAAGGGAATGTAGGTATGAAACATATTTTATACAAAAGAAGAACTATATCAGATTCAACTGTAAGGTGCAATGACTGACATTAGTTGTAGATTAGATAACACTGATTTGTTTAAGAAATATATCTTGGAGTTTTATTGTATATATTGTATGTCCATTAATTAGCAATACTGTTTAATTAGCAACTGCTTAATATTCCCAATACTGACCTACGGATGTGAATTTTGGACCCTGAGACAATCGGAGAGAAGAAAGATAGATGTCACTGAAATGTTCTGTTGGAGAAGAATGTTATGAATTCCTTGGACCGACCGCAGAACAAATAATTCAATTTTAAGAGAGCTAAAAGTTAGCCAACGACTCTCTAGTAAAGTCCATCTCCAACAATTAAAATATTTTGGGCATGTTATGAGAGCAAACACAGAAAACATGGAAAGACCCATAATACAAGGAAAGGTAGAAGGCCGGAGATCACGAGGAAGATCCCCAACAAGATGGATAGATCAAATTACAGGAATATGCCAAAGACCTATGCAAGAATTAAAAGAAATGACCAGAGACAGAGATCTCTGGAGACGGACAATACACGACATCACGTTGACCACTACACTCCCCCTGGGGGGTCAGGATTGAAGAGAGAGAATTAGCAATAAAACTAAAAGTAAACTGTTGGTCTAGTAATAAAGAAGTTTACAATGGAGGCCTATACCTTTAGAAGAATGTTTAGATGGAAGAGTACAGTAATCAAAATTAAATCTTAACAAAAGACTCATGTTGTTGCCATAATTGGGGAAGCACAGGTGTTCATGGCTAAACATAAAATTCAAGAGGCAAGTGGAATATGGTATGATCAAAATCTACTGATCAAGCAGAGAGTAAACTCGTAGCAGCACTGTGAGACTGCAACAAGGAAGAAGTTTACATTGGATGCCCTTTACTGTAATAAGACTATTTAGGTGAATAAGTGCAGAATGAAATAAAATTTGAATATTTTAAAGGATCTCTATATATGTAATGTTTTATTGTTAAAAGTGAGGAAGTATGGAAATATTTCTGCTCTTTTATGCAGACTTGGGACCAGCTGTGAGCATAAATACGGCTTTGAGCTACTCAATCCACTCTTGCTTACAACCAATAGGTAGAGTTAGGTATGTAATGTAGAAGACATAAATATATGAGTAACTGAATAGAACCAAGAATAGAACAAAAACATTAGCAGAATGACAATCAATCAATCCACATTTTTACCTTGTTTAGGCTCTGCTGCCTCTTCAAGGGTGAGTTTTTTATTGATTGGATAAACAGGAATATGCCTATTGCTGCTCTCTTGGCCAGAAATTGGGGGAAAATGGTTATTTTCAGATTGTTGGCCTTTTTGTTTTGTTCTGTTTAAACTTGTGGAGGATAGCTGTGGCTGTGTCTTTTCCTAGGATCGGGTATCTTTGTGCAATAACATTGAGAAACCACAGAAAACCAATCTCCCCCTATCCTTGTGATTTTGAATTCAACTCTTAAGGAGTGTATGGCACAGAGTGCTCACTGTTTAGTGTGTGTGGATGTGTGAATTTGTGTAGTTATTGGTTGTCTGTTGTTGGCTTGTTTCTTTTTTGGTGTTTGTGCGTTTATGATTTGTGAGCTTGATACCTAATGGTCAAGAAGTATTGGAAGAGAGAGTATGGTAATTTAAACAATGCATGAGGCAAATATTGAAAAAGAAATGAGGATAAAACTCCTTCAGATAATAAAAGGGAAAGACCAATAAACAATTTAACGCAGAGCAGACAAATGCTTTAAGGAAATTGGTATGGATGTGAACAATTTGAAGAAATTATTGAAGTAATCCACAATGAAAATATGCTGAATTATAGTCTGTTTTTGGTCAATCTTCATACATTTAAAACACAATGTTGCAACTTTTTTAAATATATTACAGATGCTAGGAATTTTCTCTGACATTCATTAGAAAGAAATTATGAATAATAGGTTTTTAAAATTTACATGAATAAACTGTCTTTTTTCAGTTTACACATCATACAAAAATAACTTATAGTACTGAACAAAACTACTACCATAGAAATAGCGATTTCTCAGTGGATAGTTTCATTCTTATCAGAAATTTGCCTATAAAATGTGCATTATATGCAAACAAAAGTTTGCACATTTGACCCAAGCTGATGATCATTAAAATAAATTATACTACTTACTAAAAAAAATCTAACTACGAATTTAATGATAATTTGCCAATAGCAAACAATATTTGCAAAGATAAATTAATCAGTTATGATAAAATGAGTTTTTTACTTTTGATTACTAAGAGTCAGCTATTTTCAGCACAGAAAAGCAGTTAATTTCTTAATTTGTATGCAGAGCAAGAACAGAAAAGAAAGATATTATAGAATAGGACATTAACAATAAAGGGTTTGTTTTAGTATTTGGGGTTTATTCTCAAACACATTAAAAAAATATATGTATAATAAAGCTCAAACACTATATTAATTTCTTATTAAACAATTTTGTTGTTACATCATCCATTCAAGGATTATTATAAATACTTCTTTTCTTTTGTCTTCATTAACATATTTATGAGGATCTGCTTCTTCTTTGTGCCAATCTATTGTTTCTGTTCTAAGTTTATTGTTCGTGTTTTGTAATTGCAAAAGGTGTTCTCTCCACATTTTATTTTTTTTATTTATAACAAACGGGACAAACCCACTGACAAATTGTACAAGAATGCAAAATTAAAGAAATAAATAATAACATGCATGAGTAATTGGCTAATATCTGTATTAGAACCATAAGTGATTTCAAATGCAGTGAATGAGAAGAAATGTGAATACAAATTAGCTGAAGCAATTCAGAAAAAAAATTCATTTGAAAAAGAAATCAAGTTAAAATTAAATCCTTTATTAAAAATAAGCCACAGAGGTCTACATAAATAAAATACACAATTCCTTAAAAATAAGTTAGATATTCTGTCTGGACCAGAACCTTTACCAAAACACTAATAATGCCACAGCTAGATTCAGTGCTAGAATGTCACAGATTTTAATAGTTATGGCTGCGACTTATCAGAACTATGACTCCACTTGCCTAGGCAGGAAAAAAAAAAGATTATGGACATTGCTATAGAAAGTGACAAGAGTATTTTATATAAGCTCTTTCTGTCAACACTTATCAAGTTTTGATGTAAATTAATTCTTTTTTCTTTTTTAAGCGGCAAATAGCTGATTGACTATTTGAAGTTCAAAAGACCTCTTGTTGATTTCTCGGGAACAATGTAAGATTGCATAAATATCTTCCGGGTATACCGAGGTATATCCTTCTAGCAGAAAAGAAATGCTTACATTTTCACCAGTATTATAAATATATACACCCATCTTTCTACTATTTTATATCCGTCTATATACCATGTGTAACGTTGCAGCCTGCGCTGTATGTTTCCTCTGTCTTGTTTTTTTCTTCGGCAGATGTCGACCTGTAAAGATACTTTGCGCCCATATTTGGATATGTATGGTTAGAAGTCTCCACCAATACAGCTTTCCTAATTTCGTTCATATGATATAAACTGATGACATTTTTGTAGCTTATGAGGAACAGGATATTCAAAAATA